GACGGTCAGAGTTGCCGCAGACTATTTTTGCTCAGCAGACAGCCTATGCGACTCTTGCCGTCTGTGGTCTGAGCGTAAGGCTTGACTACAGGAAGACACACAGATACTCTGTAAAAGGCTCCTCTTCCCCCAGAAAATGTCACCACCGTTTCCGTTCCTACCTTGCTCGTTGCCCGGTGGCAACTGCAAACTTATTGCAATAGGTACTGTCAATCTCAGCACAAGTGCTATAGTCAAAACAACTTTGGAGGTACGAGGGAACCTCGGCGCTCGGACTGGAAGCACTACACAATGAGTTCGGGTAGAATGCAGATGATTTCTACCCGAAATTTTGTTTCAACCCCATTCCGCGGCAACTCTGAACAAGCGTGAATGTGTACCCAAACAGACAGAGAAACCGGTTAATCTATGGAATGGAACGACGGTGAAACCAACTAACCATAAGAAGAGGCAACTTTAGTCAAAACGAAACAAGCCGGAGCACATCTGGACAAGGTACATCATTAATTAGGGGTTTTGTTCGAGTCCGCACGATCCCCTTTTCTACCCCCTTCTTCATCCTACCTATCCTTTCTTATATTCCCCCAAATCTTACCATCTTTTCCGGAACTTCCAGAAAATTTTCCTACTTCTACCCAAAAATTTTGCTGCCGAGTGGGATAGGGGGATATATAGTTCACATAGTACACATGAGACAGGAAAAACCGCGAAAACTCTCAGAAGGCCAGAAGTGGAATACGGTCCCCTGCCCTCCCAACAACGAGCAAATGCGAATCCTCCCCCTTTACAACGTTCCTGAATCGAGAAAAATCAACTATCAGAAAATCTTTCTCGGCCCAAATACACCCCCTCCCTCTCCCAACGACAAAACACGACCACCTCGGGAATCCCCAAATACAACGTGCCCTGCACGTAGAGCAAGGGAGAACACTATTCCAAACAAATTATAAAATTAAGGATCAGTGCGATAACAGGAGTCGGAGTAGCCGTTGCACAAAAAATGCTGGTGGATAGATAAGAAATTTGCCACGCAGCAACTGTGGCAGATAACGCAGTCTTCCAGTCTATTTATTTTAATAGTACGCATAAAAAGTAGAGGTCAGGAAAAAAGACTAGGGAAAATGCTGCTCAAAAGAACTCACGCAGTTGAGCGATCATCGTTTTCAAGCGAAGTTTTAGTTCTGCCACATCGACTTCATCAAATGGTGCTGTTCTTTGTGATTCAGACCGCGGATCCACCGTCACCGAGACTGTTACCAGATCCATAGTGCGTGGTTTACTGGCGAGTCTGGCACTTCAAAAAATCAATTTAGTGGAAGAAACAATGGCAAAGCGGCAAAAATTAAGTTTAGTTGCAAAAAAACTCAAATATGGGAATTAGTAGTAGAACTGTGCAGGAATTTTCTCTGCCCATAAAGCACTGATTTTCGAGCACAACTTACAAGGGAGGTTGGACTTTCAGGTCGTGGCGCGCTTTTTGGAAATGGTTTGTTGCTTGTTGTAGGGGTCCATACAAGGATCACAAAAATGGGTTTCATTTTTGCTATGCGTTTCTGGGGAGGTCAAAAAAAAACTGTGTGAAAGAATTAGACAAAAATGGGCGATTTCAACTATCCTAATTCCTCCTGATTGTAACTTCAAGCATGCATAGTTTATGAGGTGCTCGTTAATTAGGCTTCAAAAATAGTTTTGAATAAAGTCAAAATGTAAGTATCATGTAGTAACACACTTGGCATGCACCGACGCAACAGTGATGTTTTTATCTCAAGGGTTTCAGCGATTCCTCACACTCACTTGTGCAACGGATCGGATAGCGCGCAGAGGATAACTCGATGGATTGGACTTTACCACGATTGCAAGATTTCCTCTCAATGAAGGAAATGTTAACGAACGAAACGAGAACATTCCCTGGAAATAGGCTTCTCCACACAATCGAGCCGGTCTGCAAGGTATCAGAATGAAGAATATGCCTTCAAATGGCAAATACTTGGCTTATTTTCACAGCTGGACATACAGGAAACGATCAATGATAGAGAAGCTGACAAAATTCAGAAGATTGCCACTAGAAGGATGCTGATCACCAAAGTCCCGGAAGTCGTCTCATCCAGAATCCATCGGTACTCACACTGCGCCATCCGATCCCGAAGTGACATGAGAGTACCGCTGGACAAAAACATCACTGTGCGTCGGTGCATGCCAAGTGTGTTAATACATGCTCGAAAGTTACAAGCCAGAAAGGAATCCCATTAAGGTTGTTAAAACCGCCCATTCTTGTCAATTTTTTCACTCCGCTTTTGACCTACCCAGAAACGCACAGCACGCAAAAATGAAACCCATTTTTAAGATCCTTGTATGACCCTACAACAAGCAACAAACCATTTCCAAAAAGCGCTCCACGACCTGAAAGACCTCCCTTGTTAGAGGAGTTCCATTCTCAAGCTATACTTGGTTCCAACAAAACGTTACGTAGTTAGGGAGCTATGCGGAAGAGCCCACCCTGTCTCCCACTCTCTGATGTTAGGCCTACGGGGAGAAGCCACGGAGAGAGAGCACCGTTTCGGTGAAAAGGCGCAGACGAGCAGAAAAACTGTGTCGCTAGGCGGCGCAGAACCGGCCATTTAACTTTAGTGCAAACTGCCATGAAGTCGATATATCAAATGAAATAACACCACTAGGGCATTTCCTGCCGCAGGGAAAAATATTTGGGAATTACGACCCTCTTAATTCCCCACTGGAAATAGCCCAGCGTTGTAGATAGCGCGCAAGAAACAGGAAAATTAACTATCGGAAAAAAGCTTGCTGAAGCTAGACACGATCCCTCCATTCAGCGACCATATAGCAGCACATTTCCCAACGTTCGACGTGCCCTGTACACCTCTGAGCAAAAGTAAAGAATTCATGAAAGTTCGCTAGCCTGATATACTTGGGGCCTTGGTGTAACAACCCTCGATTGCGGTGGTCATAATTTTGAACGAGGCTTTTTTAAGCATTAAGCTTCATTCCCACTTGATTTTCCCATAGGTTCTGTGCATTGAAACGCATACACACAATTGGTTGGTATTCGGCGAAAGAAACCCTTTCAAGCCATAGGAATTCAATTCTTTTTTTACCCAGGCCTAACGTAGGAGCGAAGCTGAAGATAAACATCGTCATCTCTCAAGAATATCTTCCTCACGCTATTAAAAGCTCCTTGACTGCGTTATATATTAGGGGTGTCCCACAAAGTTCGTTGGCCATTTGTAAACAGCGTCGCGTTACGCAACGCGTTGTGATTTTGCATAATGGTTTCGCAATACTGAAAGTACTCGCGATGGGCTATCTTCTGAGCTAGCTAGCTCTAAATTTCCTTTCCTGATCTTTCCACAATAAAGCAGTGAAGATGAGTGATAGTTGCTGGACTACTACAATCTGGACATCTCCAGACGTCAGGCCACGACCAGGATGCGTCAGCAGTTTGGTGATAACACCCCTTCTAAGAACTGGATGTCAAAATGGGGGACTCGCTTCACCAATGGAAACTATGGCATCGAAGATATGCCGAGGTTTCTGGTTCTCTCGTCACGGCGTCGTCCACTATAGCATCCTACCCAACAATGCCACAGTGACGGCAGAGACCCTCTCTAAAGAATTACAGGAGGTCAAGGTGAAAGCTGCCGCCTTGTCCCAGAAACTTGCAAATCCGTGGTTGCTCTGGGACAACGCGCGCCCCCACAAAGCGAGAGATACTCAGGCCGTCCTGGACAGGCTGGGCATCAAGACGTTCACGCATCCACCATATAGCCCGGACATCAGTCTATGCGATTACCACATCTTCCGGTCCATGCGAAACTTCCTGGACGGAAAACAGCTGAAGAACGAGCGCGACCTCGAGGACGTGATCGAGGACTTGGGCGAGTCGCGGCTGGCCGGCTTCTGAGAGGATGGAGTTGCCTCTCTACCCGATCGTTGGCGAAAGGTGGTGCCGGGGTATGCATGGAGATTATATCATGGACCGGTAAGTTCAACTTGGTGAGTTATCTTCATAAGCTCTGCAAAAAACGAATGGCCAACGAACTTTGTGGACACCCTAATAAAAGAAATATTGCCAGTTATTTCAACTGCCTAAAAGGCACTAAAGTATTCGACTAGTGCAAAACAACTCACCCTTTGCAATTCGCCGCTTCCATTATCGATAGATAACAGTGACCAAGTTCACACGAAATCCCGTCATGATGAATAACCTCCGACAACTGAAAGGAAACTATATCGAAGTGACTATGAGGTCACAGCAGAAAACCAACAAACACCCGTTACCAGGACCATTAAATAGTAAACGTAAACACAAAACATATAGAAAAAGCATTGAGATACAGCCAACCTTGGCACTCCGCTCCTCTTCGCCCGGATCCTTCTCACGACAATAGCGGCGCACTTGCTCACGTCGAGACATTTCGGTTTCAAGGATACATCGAACATGTCTATATCAATGAAAACTTCCAGTATAAGAAAAACTAGCCGAGTGAACAATTAGCGAATGCTGAGCTATGGGCAAGTTTCGATTCCAGGCAGGACTCTACACACCTCATGCTTTCGGGATGTGTACGCTATCCGTTCACGTGTGTGTGTACTGCACGGCCGTGGCAGAGGAGCCATTCAGCTGAGAGGGTAACAGCTAAGGAGCCTCGCACTCGCTCAGAAAGCACGAGGTACGGGTCCCGCCCAGGGTCAGGGCTTTTGACCATAACTCAACACTACTGTGGTGACTTTAGGAATGCGGACCACGTTAAACATACTTTATTAGTATATTTAGTAATGAAGAGGGTAGCTCCTTCACGTTTTGAAAAATCAGACGATTCGAACGCTCTTCTAGTAAGGTTTGGTATTTGGTTGCAGAGCACCCAAGAAACTCAACACAAGGAAGCGAATCAGGCAACAGGCTTATCCACCGCACAGCTTTCCTGATTGAGCAAGAATTCTCATCCCTATGGTTTGCGATGGGTTCTTGGTCCTGTCAGTTAATTCAGAAATAAGCAGAATGAAAATGCAGTAAAAACACTATGAGTACAGGTGGTCCGTTTCGTCCCTACCCCAGAAAAACCAGGAAACTGACTCACAGAAGGTACTAGTAAGGAAAAGCCAGTGAACCGAGAGCGTAGTAGCGGTCCTAGTGGTGTAACAGATAGCACCATCGTTGGGAAACCACGCGAAGCGGATTTAGACCCTGTCTAGGCCCAAGGCATTGAACTCAACTCACTTGTGTAAACACATATTACATACATTACATGTGGAAACACATATTACAGGGTGCTATGTGCGTAATATAAGCGTAAATTACGTTCGCGGGAAAAAGGGGTGTGGTCATCTGGGGCGGAGCATCCCATAAAGTCCTTTGTGCGCAGGAGTTGTAACAGGCGCTTCGCGCAAGAATGAAAAAACGCTATGCGAAGAATTCTATTATGACCATTTAATGTAAATAAAGGGGGCGTGGCTATCTAGGGCGGAGCTTTCAATGAGGTCAACTGTGTACAAGAGTAGTATAATGTTCGCTTCGCGCAAGAATGAAAAAAAATCGCTTCACGAAAGATTTGCGAAAGAAAGAACGAAATTTGTACGGCCTACGCAAAGCAGTTATTTTCCAATCTTGCGCGAAGCGCCCACTACACTATCCT